AGGCTTTTACTTTTTATTACGAATATGATGGCATGCGTACATGCAAACGTAGATATACATCCATACGTAATTGATACTTATAGATACATATGTACATATGTGTACAAACTAGCACGTGCAAGTATGTAGATTCAAACTACAACTTTATGTATATGTAATTTTCTTTATAAAAGAATTAAGAAAACTAAAAATAAGTTTGGCAAGTTCGCCTCCTCCTCTTTACCATGAAACGCCTCTTTCATAAATTCACACCAGCTTGCAGATTTTGACATTGAAAACCGCTTACCACTATAATAACCTTTAATTTTATCAGCTACAAATTTTATTGACCTCTTTCTCATGAATATGTATGTACATACAATTTATGCAGATTATAACATACAACCATTTACGAATATATACATACATACATACTAACATATAGTTACCTTGCCAATATACAAGCATAAATTTTAGTTTTATTAAAAGCCGCATTTTGTTGTTAAAATAAAAGATAACATTCCGCACGCAACTCACCTCTTTGGGGATTTTTGGCTTGGCTTCGAAACAGCTGCCACTAAATTGTGTTTGCCAACTTGTTTAATTTAGCCCATACATGCATACTATCCACATATCTACATACATACATACATATTTGACGTAGTTTGAGGCTTATTTGGGAACTAGTTTCTGTTAATTAAGCGTATTGTCGTGCGTGCAAAGCGGCTATCAGCTATTTAATGCATTTAAATAGTTTTTCCGTCGGTGTTTTTTTGCCAAATTTATTCCATACAAATTTTAATGAGCTTCATTAGGCGTTGTTTGGTTATCAGTAGGTATGTTATAAGTGGAATTGTATGAATTGTATGAATTTAAAAATCAGGCAGGGTGAAGAAATGATACATTTGGGGTATTCACAAAGGTGCCGAATTTTTGTGCAAGGTACCATAAATTTCATGTTATGAATTTTCACTCTCTAAACATTTATTTCAACTTATAAAATTTACGACATTCATCAATACGACACTTACGACACCGTCGTGAATACCCCAATTTAGTATATTTTTGCTTTTTATTTGTTTGAGTTTCTTTGGCTTTGAAAGGTTTCGAAAATGTACGTATGTACATATTAAGTAACTTAAGTAGTTTAAGCAATTCAATATCAATACGCAAGTGGTTTGTAGTTTTTCATGATCTCTAGTCACAAAGAGTGAAATAGTCCTACTTTTGAACAGACCAATATGACAGTATTCGTTAACTCGGCTTAAAAAAAAAATACTATTACGTCAGTAATGGTAGGTGAGGGTTCTTTGTTATGTAAATCATTTCAAGAGTATTATCCAAACATGAAGCTAATATTTATATCTTTAAAAAAGGAACAAGTAAAAACATGCGAACCTTTATTGAGAAGTAGCCGAAGTTAAATCAACAGTTAGAGAGTGCCGAAGGTGAGCCAAGAAAGAGCCTCGAGAACTCTGCAGACACTCCAATAAAGAAATATTTAGGAATAGGATAGAGCAGCTAAGGCCAAGAAGGCACAAAAAGGAACCATATCTGATCCCTTTAAAGACCATTCACCACTTGGCTGAATCAAGTTTCAAAAAACGGGATATGAGGCACAAACTCCTTCCGACAGAAGGATATGTAAAGCAAGTATTGTGCAGCACTTAGGGGTATATCATTATCGTTGTGCAAAGGTGATATTTATTCCATGAAGAACTTGGACAAAGTGTAAAACCGATTAAAATTACTGTGAAACATATAGTATGTGGCTGCTTCCCAGACAAAGGTTAATCGGTCGAACAGCCTTGCACGAACTTGATGGGAGTATAATGACGTTTTCTTTTCTCGAAAAAAATGTCACATTTTTATATGGCAAAATTAGGAGGGTGGAACATTTTAAAGAAAGAGAACGCAATATGCATGTGAAGATACTGAGAAAGGAACACGAAAGCTTGACAGCCCTTGCGCAGGGCAGAATAAATGCAACATTATTTCGAGAAAAGAAAACGCTATAAGATAAGCGCTACATGATGAAGAATTTGGTATGTAGCCCTTCTAGATGTTAAAGGTCATTTTGATAATGCTAATTTGCAGTCCATTCATTTCAATCATAGGATTCGTTGGTTATGCTTTGGATCGACAATACATTGCCTAGAAAGAGTTTTAGTGGCTCCCGTAAAATGACTGAGACAAGGAAAACGGCTGTACGAAGTCTCTTCAAGACGAGGTTTCAACTAATCTGTTATGGAACTTTGTGCTAAACGAATTTCTGTTTCGAATTGCTTCGAAAGCCATTTCGAGGGCTGCTTCGGACACAGATTACCTAGTAATTCTGGTAGTAGGGGCATTTATCTAGTTATATGATCAATTAGCAACGTGGGCAGAAATTAACATTGTCTGGGTTAACCCATCTAGAAGTGAAGTAGCACTCCTTACGTAGCGATATGAGATGGACTATCCAACTCCATCGATCAATGACGAAAATCTTAAATTGCCGAAGAGTTGCCATCTGATCAACTTGCAAAGGTTATACCGAAAATTATTTATATTGGGGTGTTCGATTATTCGATTAGGACAGACTGTCTTGGGAATAAGAATACCCCAACCGATTAACCAGCCCGACGCTACAAATATTGGCTATTATAGAATCAATCAAAACCTTCGTAAACTCTCACCGCGAGGAGTTTAGTAAGCTGCTCCAACAGTAACAACCACAGTGTAAAGTTTTCGATCGGCTTTCTTTTATTTGTTAAATACCTTTCTGCAGTGGACAATTTTTCAGTATCCAGGTATAAAATTAATAAAAACTAGTATCGCCCCGTTGTCGAAATTCGACCACTTCACTTTTTTCACACACTTTTTCATTTTGCCTGGGAAGTTTTTTAGGTCCATCAGCACCTGTTAATCGTCAAGCTCACTTACATATATTGTTTGGTGGAGTAATATACATTTTACCGGAAAAACAAACAAAATGCGCACCTCCTCTTTGAAATACCTTTCGAACAAAAGAAGAATCATTCATTTCGGTTCCCCTACAGGGGGGAGGAATAGATTTGTATGAGGTTCGTTAGCGTATTAATATATAGTAGATGGTGAAACCAAAGCAGGCATTCATAGGCATATACGGAAATTGGAATAACTCGGCTCTGGAGCCACCTATCGGGTCCATTTTTTGCAGGTGTATTTCTATTGATGTTAGTAATAAGTATGTATTTTGAATTTGAAGCAAATCAGACCATAAATGAAGTTTTTCCGAATAACTCCACTCCTACTCCACCTACTGAAAAAACAAATAAAATGCGCACCTCCTCTTTGCAATACCTTTCGAACAAAAGAAGAATCATTCAAATTGGTTGAGAAACATAGCAGCAGCAGGGAGGAATAGATTTGTATGGGATTTCGTTAGCGTATTAATATATAGATTGCATGGTTAATTTTTCGATAAAGTAAATATTTAGATTGTGGTATATAAATTAAATAGGTGAGGAAATTGTAAAAATCCGGTTTAAAAAATTTGAAAAAAAAATTGCCGACAGAAATGACCAGAAGCATTGGATGGTTCGATGCAAATATGTTGTTCAATCTCTTTGGAACACAGTGCTATTATGGCAAATCAAGAAGCAGACGAGTTCTCGAAAAAGCGATCATTATTAGAAAGCATGTAAAAGATTAAAGGGGATCTCCTTTCTTGTTCTTAATTGAGTAAAAATAGCTACAGGAGCTACTAACAGCAGGTGGATATTATGCACGAGAATATTTCTTACGGTATTCAAAACTACATGAAATAAGTTTCCAATTGCACTTTCGTACCGTTTTTTAGGATCTTGCAGTTTACAGCGAATATTGTATTGCGTCTTTTTTTGCTGGACTTCAGGTTGATTGCGTCTACACTGATTTCTCAAGAGCTTTTGACAAAGTTTCGCATTCTTTATTGATACATATATAAGTTGGCTCGTATGGGCTTTTATTCAGTGTTTTTGTTTTAGATTGGATTAAATCCTATTTATTTAAAAGAAATTCTGTAGTAACTGATAATGGCATTTCTTAGGAACCCTTCTATGCCTCCTCTAAGGGCCCGCTTCTTTTGGTATTGTTTATAAATGATGACTTAAAAGGATTTTCGAAAATTAGGAACCCCAACGTTGCGCTTAACAACTATTGTACGTAAATCCTCGGCTTTCCTGAAACATCAAGAAGTGCTTTAAAGTTGCGTACACGAAAACTCATATTATCTTGCCGACGTCTTATAACATTTCTCATTCTTTATTACAAACTTTTAAAGATCTTGGCGTAATTATTTCGAGAAATTTAGCCATATTATTTCGAAATCTTACTCGGCTTGCGTTCATTCCAATTTGGAATATGCTGCTTTCATCCGAAGGCCAAGTCATAAAAATTATATAAATAGGATTACACGGCAACAAAAGGTTTTTCTTATATATGCCTTACGTTCATTGAGATTCGATGACCCAATTCCTACATATGAAATTGACTTTTTCTTTCTCTTAGAAGGTATTATTTTTAACATACCTTCGTAGTTCTTTACCTTTCTACTCCACTTGTTCGAGCCTTAAATGAATTTAATTTAATCTCGAGTTCTATCCAACTTGATTTTTCATCTTTGAAAAGTGTTTTTTCCACATATTCTATATATTTTATTTTTATTTTAGATGTTTCAGTATCTTAGCTATTAATTATGTTAACTTGTAAATAGCCTATAAGAAACCTTTGTTCATAAACTATAAATAAATAAATAAATAAATATGCTTATATTTACCAATCTCTAAACCTGCTTCT